GTTTGTGGCTTGTGGCTCCCTGGATCTACCTTCTTAAGTTTTATTTTTTAATAAGCTAGATTTTGTTTTCTTAAGAACACCCTGATGTAGTTCACCATAGGTGATAGCCTCACCGTAACCTTGGCCATTTCTTGCAGAACAGTGGGTCCATTGTCTTCACCCTAAAAGAACTGATACGAACTCTCTGTGTAGTCTGTTCTTTATTTTATACCACTATCATCTGCCCATCTCTTCTCCAGACTATGCCACTGTATAGAGAACTCAGGAAATAAGTTTTTGCTCTTGTTACCAATGGTTTGTACGTTAATGAATAAGCATCTGTGTCGTCTATTTTCATTTATTGTCTCAACTCTGGACGTTATTCATGTAGTACAATTAATTTAGCGTCCTCCCCACATATTGAATCTTGACAGCATAGCAGGACGAGTGCGACCAAAATTTTTTATTTGTTTATAAGGAAAAGGCAATTCTTGTTTATTTAATTTTTATGCATAGTAATCTCTAGGGTATGCACTTTTAAAGAAAGAATGCTTTCTAATTTTTATAGGAATCTAGCAGATTCAGCTTTAGTATTAATTCACTCCTCTTCAAAAAGTTGTCCAATATTTTCTCAGTATTTGTGAATACAAGCTTTAGTGAGCATTTGGTATTTCCTGGCAAATGATTGCAAAGCTGTGCTGTTGAAACCTGCTGTTATTAATGCTGATAGTAGCAAATAGCCTCCACAGAAATCTTTGTGAATGAGATCTGTGAAACAGAGGGGGATGAAAAGTGGTGGATCTTAGCCCAGCCTCATCAACAGTACGAGAAGTGTGAGGCAAAGAAAAGGGAGCGGGATGCACATTGAGCACAGGGAGGTTGGTGCCAGAGTTGCTAGAAGCAGTTTCTGATTCTAATTGTGTTGTGCCAGCCCCATGAATGCAGGCCTTGCGGGTGGCATGGCCCTCAAGCCATGAGCAGCAAAGGAAGCTGACAGCAGCCTCCCTGGAGGCTGGCACTGAACGACAAACTAACATCCTTTCACTTGTCATTCCTGTGCTCTACTAGAGGCTAGATGCCAGAAAAATAGGAAGGGAATGTATAACAAGGCTCAGTGTCACCTAATGGCATTCAGAGTTTGTTCCAGAGGAGCAGAGTCGTGGTTCATCGTTGTTTTGGAATTAGTTCTCTCATGCTGATTCTTTCATACATGGGGCTGATCCTTGGGATTACCTGATTCCAAGGTATAAATACTGAATTGCATTGCTATTATCTGTGTCTGAGGTATTTTGTGCACTAAGCTGCTTCTTTTAGGTAAACTAACTGTATTTCTCATGGGAGACATAAGCTACAGAAAAAAAGTCAAATCTGGCAATAGTCAGCTTTCTATGCCACCCTGTAAAAATCTTAAAAACTGTTTTTTTGTTAAGTCAAAGAATAATAGAATGGACTGGGTTGGAAAGGAGCACAATGCTCATTTAGTTCCAACCCCCTGCTGTGTGCAGGTCACCAACCAGCAGACCAGGCTGCCCAGAGCCACATCCAGCCTGGCCTTGAATGCCTGCAGGGATGGGGCATCCACAGCCTCCTTGGCAACTCGTTCCAGTGCCTCTCCACCCTCTGTGTGAAAAAATTCCTCCTAATATCTAATGTGTATCTCCCTCCCTCTACCTGCTGGCCACCCTTTTTTTTAATGCAGCCCGGAACACAGTTGCATTGCTGTTGCCAGCATGCATTGCTGGCTCTTGTCCGGCTTCTCGCCCACCAGGACCCCCAGTCCTTCTCATCAGGTCTGCTCTCAAGAGTTTTTTCTCCCAGTTTGTATGAAAACCTAGGATAAATCCAAGCAATACATATATTTTTCTTTAAACGTTGTAGCTCTGTCATTATGACCCTGATTTAGCATAATGCTTAAAAATGCATAATTTTTAGACATGACTATTAGCCCCATGATACATAGCTAATATTAGTGCAGTGTGTATGCTTTAGATAGAGACTTTAATTTCATATAGTTTTAAGAAGAGCACTTAGGATGAATTTTCTATTTAAAATACCTAGCTATCTTTACGTAGGTAACATTGGAAAAGCATTATGGATATTGTGATGAATTTGTGACTTTGTTGCGTATTGCTTCAGTACCTGCAGGGCCTTGAATGTGCCCAGGACAAGCCTAGGAAAGTCCCTGAAGAACATAAGAAGTTAGATTCTTTCCAGAGAGGTTTCTTTTTGCATTTATTCAAGGCTCAAGGATTGGCTAGATACTGTAACGCTATTTGCCTTTCACTGCGAACTGTGTATTTGTTCATTCAGTTTTTAATACTAATCTTACCTTTCAATAATGAAAAACGAGGCTTTGTAAATTCATATTATTCCTTTGATGATACCCTAAAAAGAATATTGAACATTTCAGTAGTCTCTGTTTTATTTACTGAAGGTCAGGATAGGTCGGAATGTAACAGGAAACCACTTTTCTAGTGGATTAAGTAGCATTAGGAATATTTGTAAAAGCATCAAACTGTGAAAGCTTTTGAACCTAGTGCCTTACTCAAGAATGAGAGTCAATTGACTATTCTCCCTGTTTATAGAGGTGTGTGAAGGTTTTGTTTTACTGTAGTAAACAAAGTAGTGGACCTCAGGTAATGGGTGATGTGAAAATTTTAAGTCTTCAGGAAAATCAGTGGAGGTATGTGATATTTTTGTGTAGTATATCAAAATAGATTTGTGTTGACATTTAATTAGATATATTAAGAAAGACCTCAAATTTTCAAGTAGAAGCCATTTTTCTGAAGGCTTGAGTTCTGTTGGTTGATACAGGGCAGAGTGACACACTTGAATGACATGCTTAATTCACTTGTACAATAAAGAAGTGCTTGGATACACATATTGGATTTGTCAAGTTTTCTTCATTACTCTTCACATTTTTTATTTTATTGTTGCTGAAAATCCTGTAGCAGCAGGAGTAATGGAAAAAGTCGGGAAAGTGGGATAACAGGAATAGTATAGAATGGTTTTATAAACAGAAATGTGTCAGGTGGTCTCTTGGTTCTAGAAATATCTGAGATTGTTTGGGATTTGTGAATTTGCCTGTAGTATGAAGAAGGTTAACAAGAATTGATTTATTGTCTTTTCCAATACATGATGAAGACTAGTAAAAAGTCTAGTAAAATGATCTGAGTGTGTTCCAAATCATGGGTGGAACCTCTGTCCTTTTAGTCTTATGTTCTACTTATGATAACTTTTCAGCTTTCTAATTGCAAGTAATATCTGAATAGGTTAATTTTGGGCAAACGTTACTGCTTTAGCAGGAATGGATGGAGGATCCAACTCTTTCTGAATAAATCTTACAGTAGCACTCTTCAGTCTAAATAAAGTCTATGAAGAAAAGATGATGAAAATGATGTATTTTAATGTTTCAATGGCATTTCCATCCTAACTTCTTTCTTTAAGATACACAAAATAAAAATATCTTTCTTTTTATTACTTCAGTATTCGACTAGATTGTATGTAACATAACAATTGTAGGAAGAAAATCTTTTCTATGTAGAAAATCCCAATATATTTGATGCAACAGAGAGAGGACTACGTGTGGCCATTTTGAGAAAAATGTGAGCTCCAGAGAATGAATGATGAAGTGAAAATAATTATTAGATGCTTTGGAAAAACACAGAAGGAAGGTAACAGAAAACTGAGGATTTTCTGTTCCTACCCGATATTCCTGTATAATGCAATTAAATGTAATGTATGTATTTTAAATTAAGTGGAAAAAAAAAATAGAACAGTAGCCAGTAAAGACATTCACAAATTCTTTTTGCAAGAATTGGAAGCTTTACCAGTGCGATCTGATTCATGGAGGAGATGCCTCAAAGCTGTTCGAACTACCTCTGTAGTTTACTACTAGGATGAATAAAAGTGGAAAACACTGTCATAATTGTGATTTCTCCTCATCTCTTCCAGTGTTTTAAACTCATTTTATTCGCAGTATTTATTTACATAGTAATTAAAAAGGCAGTTATCATTGTTCATCTATGCAGCGTTGAGTAAAAGAACGCACAAGTATGCACTCATACCTTTGATTCTACTTGGTACTTCCAGATGCTGCTCATTTGTCTCTTTGCGTTTCAAAGGAGGTGTTCCCATAAAAACAATTTTTACTAATAAAACATAATCAGTGAAAGACAGCTTAGGATGCAACCACTTTTTTTTTCCCCTCTTTGAAGTAAAATTATTGTCCTACTAAAAACCAAAGAGCTTTTTGTTCTTGTAAACGTGCTTGCTGTTTGATCATTCTTTTGGCTGTGATTATGTGGTTTTGACAACTGTGTGAGCTCACATTATCTCAGTGGTTCTAATTTTTCTAAATTGAGGTTTCTTGGTGATCTTTCAGCCAGTTGGATAAAACTCCTGGATGAAACACTTAAGCGATTCACTGTAGTTAGTGAACTCAAATTTATTCATAAATTCAAATGAGTACAGTCTCACGTAATTAGAAGGATATTTGATGTTTAGGAAAACGATTTGTAGGAAATCGAGTTAATTAGAATTATTTAATGGCAGATTTTACAGTCGAAAACTTTAAAACAATATCTTTCTCAAATTCATTTATGATTGTTTAGAATGTGATGTTGATGCTTTAGGTTTGAAAAAATAATCATGGAAGATGTAATTAAGATATTAAATAACTCAGTGTACAGTAAAGCTACTGTAATAATTTATAAGCAGAACTAGAAACATATATAAGTGCTTTGAGAAATAACTATTTTCAGTGTTAACAAGTAATATTGCTTGTGTAGCCTTTTTACTTGATGAGTGCAAATGACCTCTGAAAAACACTGTTTTATTCTATGTGTGTAATTTGTCCCATTATGATGACTGTAATCTTCTTTCTTATTTGTTTTTCACTGCTTGCCTTTTCTAGGAAGTAGAGGTTGGTATATATCTTGTCTTCTACAATCAAATGACTTTTGGATGTACATGCTGATTTATTATATCTTACTAAATGTAGGTTGTTTTTCCCTCTCCAGGATGATTATTTTCGCACATGGAGTCCGGGTAAACCATTTGATCAAGGTAAGATTCTGCTACTGTTTTTTTTTGTTTGGTTTAAGATTAAAATACTTATGTGTTCCTGTTCTAGAATAACTCTGAAACTATGAGTTTGTTACCTTCTCACTCTTCAAATGATTGTTATGAAAAGGGACCAGAAGTTGATTTGTAGCCTAATTGTTTCACATCTATGACTTTTGCAAGCTTTTATTGATTAGAGGCTGAAAGAGGGCAGTAGCAGACTTGCTTAAAGTTTTTCTTATCTAAACAAGTTAATGGGATTTGGGTCTTGTTTTGTTTTACACATATAATTAAAGCCAGCCACCCCTTGTCTCATGGAGCCCAGGATACTGTTGGCCTTCTGAGATGCAAGAGCACACTGCTGGCTCATGTTCAGTTTTTCATCCACCAGGACCCCCAGGTCCATCTCCCCAGGGCTGCTCTCAGAGTTCCTTCTCCTAGTCTGTATATGTATCTGGGATTACTCTGACCCAAGTGCAAAACCTTGCACTTTGCTATGTTGAATGCTATTAGGTTTACACAGGCCCACCATTTGAGTTTGCTGAGGTCCCTCTGGATGGCATCCCTTCCTTCTAACATGTCAGCTGCACCACTCAGCTTGGTATCACTGGCAGAATTGCTTAGGGTGCACTTGAGACAATTGTCAATGTAATTGATGGAGATGTTGAAGAGCACTGCTCCCGAGACACCACTCATCACCGGCTTCCATCTGGACATAGTGCCATTCACCAGAACCCTGTCTACAGCCTTACAACCTATTCCTTATCCACTGAATAGTCCACCCCTCAGATCTCCATCTCTCCAATTTGGAGATAAGGATATGGTGGGGGACCATGTAAAGTGCTTTACACAAGTCCAGGTAGATGATATCGGTTGCCTTCCCGGTCACCAGAGTGGTCAGGCACGAGTTTCCATTGGTAAAACCATGCTGGCTGTCTCAGATCACCCATGGTGAGGCTCCCCAGCCTGTAATTATCTGGATTCTCCTTTCTTGCAAATGGGAATTATGTTACCTTTTTTGGGGTGGGGGGAACTTCACTCAACAGCTGTGACTTCTCAAATACAATGGAGAGCAGCTCAGCCACAACATCAGCCAGCTGCTTTAGGACTCTGGGATGATGCATGTCATCCACACCCATAAACTTGTACACATTCAGTCTCATGATGCAGTCTCAGACTTGCTCTGCCCTTACAGCAAGGGGGATTTACTCCCCCAGTTCCAACCTAGAGGCTCAGGGATGTGAGCTTCAGGGACATGAGACATATATGAGAATCCTGGCTGCTAGTGAAGACCAAGGCAAAAAACTCATTTAGTACCTCCACCTTCTCCGTATCTGCCGTAGCCAGTTCTCCTTTCTCATTTACCGAAGGAGGTACCGAAGGCTCTCTGCTTCTACTGCCCAATGTACCTATACAACTCTTTCTTGTTGTTTTTAACATCCCTAGCCAAGTTCACTTCCATCTTCCCCTTGGCTTTCCTAATCCTCTCTCTGCTAGTCTGGAAAGCATCCTGTGTTCTCCCCAGGTGGCATGCCCTTGTTCCCATAGTCAGTACAACCGCTTTTTTTCCCTCAGCCTGACCAGCAGATCTTTGCCAAGCCCTACTAGTTTTCTGCTTCCCTTGCCTGCTTTCTTATTCAGAAGGGGAGAGTACTCTCAAAAAGGCATCTGTAAAGAGTGGCCAGCGTTCTTCGTCTCCTTTGTCTCTAAGGACAGCTTCCCAGGAGCTCTCATCCAGCAATTCCTTCAGCAGCCTAAAGTTCACTCTCCCAAAGTTCAGGGTCCTGACCCGAATCTTTGCCAGGCCCACGTTTCTTGAGATCACAAACTCAACTAGGACATAGTGGCTGTAGCCTAGACTGCCTCCAATCTTTATTGCCTTCAGTGATCTCCTCTGTATTAGTGAGTACTAGATCCAGCAGCACTTCACCTCTGGTCAGTCTATCCAGTACTTGAACCAGAAAGTTATCATCCATGGACTCCAGTAATTTCCTGAATTTATTGCAGCTTGCCATATGGTTTTCCCAGTACATATCTGGATGGTTTAAATCTCCCTATCAGGACAAGTACCTGGGAGTGGAATCCCTCCTGCCGCTGAAAGAAGAAGGCCTTGTCAGCAGGCTCACCTTGATCAGTCCAATCCCTACGTTAGTCCTCTCCCTAATTCTGACCCACAGACTCTCAATCTGCTTCTCACCATTTTTCACAGAGAGCTCCTCACATTCTATCCACTTGTTTAACACAGAGGGCAACTCCCCCACCTTTCTTACTTAGCCTATCCTTTCTAAAAAGGCAATACTCCCCTAAAAAGGCATACCCTCTACAGTGGTATTCCAGTTAAGGGAGTAGTCACACCATGCTTCTATGGTAGCAACCGGATTGTAATTTTCCAAGCACATCATGGTTTCCAACTCATCCTGCTTATTTCCCATGCTGCATGCATTAGTGTAAAGACCCTTCAGCTGGGCTTTCTGACATGCTGCCTTTCTAGAGGGCCTTCCCTCAAACTTCTGGGAGGAATCTGAGATTTCCCCCCGCTGCTTCCTAGAGGAGCAAGAGAAGATTTCAGATGGGGGGTTGGCAACATTGCTTCCTCTGAGGAGTCTCTGCAAGATGCCACAGGACAGTTCAGAGGTTTTTCCCCATAATCTCCTGGTGTGACAGTAACCCAAGCCTTCCTGTGTCCTGCTCGACTCTCTTCCCCTGTTGGATCTAATATAAAGCCCTGGACTACTCTCTCAACTCTAGTGAGCCTCATTGTATCCCTTTTCCCCTTCTTGTCTTGTTTCAAGCCTTCTCAATGTGCTCTGTTAGCTCTTAGAGCTAGGATCCATTTCTCTCTTAGAGACGAGCAATGCCTGCCTGCAGCCATTAGACCAGTGCCGAGTAAATTGTCCTGTGGTCAAAAAACCCAAAGTTCCTGTGGTGGCACCAGCCTCTCAGCCACTTACTCATTACCTGGGTTTTCCTAGCCTGCTCCATGTCCCTTTAAAACCAAGAAACCAACAATAAAATCAAAAGAACTGAAAAATTTGGAAGCCTTTCTAAAATGAGAAGAACTACAGTTATGATATGTAATAGCAGGAATTGTAAAGAAATGACATAGTAGCAAACTGTAAGTACTCTTCGTCCATGATTAACTAAATCCCAGTACAAGTGATCATAGCATTGCCTAGTAGCTAACTACCTTAGTAAGGAAATGAAGCCCAAAGCTGGCTTTCCACAAGGTGACTTAAAAAAGGAAGTTAAATTTTGACTGTATGAGTGTTATTACTGCACAGACTTTGCTTGTCAGATCCTAATTGGAGTGGCAGTACTCTTTTGTTGAGATAGTGCCAATATGGTGAGAGAAAATAAAACCTTGAAAATGTATTGTTTGACTTGTTGAATAGTTCTCATCTTTTGTGGTTGGCATATTTCATTTATCTATTTATTTATTTATGTTACTTGTTTGGTAAATTATGACCATGTCTCTTAGAGTGGGACTTCCCACCAGGTTTGTCACTTTGAATTTGTCACTTTAATTGAGGTTTGCCATTTGAATGCAGCAGGCTTGTTTTGACAGCCTGTGTGGGAGAGGTAAGAGAGGAAGGGAGGACAAGTTTGTGTTATTTGTCACTGCTCTCTGAATTATGGTGATTTTTGTGTGGATTGGTGGAAATTTACAAGTGTTAGTTCAGATCTATGGCAGACTGACAGTGTTGATTTCCCAAACCATAGTTCTTTCTTCGTTGTATGCTAATACATTAGGAAAGTTCTTGATTTTGGTCCTCCGACTCCTCAAAGAAAGATTTGCTTTCACTTGATCAGTGACTTCTTTTCATTGAAGGACATTGATTTCAGAAGCAGGCTTTTCATTTCACTAGAAAGTACCTTAGGGCTTTTTTCTTCTTTGGCTTTTGACAGGGAGGTGTGGTGTGTGGATTTGCTTTTTGTGTAAGAACAGTAGTAAATAACACTTTGATTAATGATTTAATGGTAGCAGTGCCCTTGATCAGAAGATACTGAGTAGAATGCACTGTAAATTTTGCTAGTGATTTATTTAGTTATCACATACCTACTATTATTTTTTTTTTTCCCAACTGGCTGTTGGTTTTGCTGAAGATACTGAAGATAGAAGCTTCTACATGCTCAGGCTTGTTACATTACTCTTGAGTTATTTGGGAATCCTGATGCTCATGTTTGTAGAATACTTGCCTGAATTGAGCAACAGGCCAACCAGGAGAACACGTTAAGGTTACTTTCTAAACTTCGTTAGCAAAACGCATGTTATATTGGGTGGTGAATATTTCAAAAGTGTGCCGAGAGGTTTCAGATTTCTATTTTCATAGACTTGTTAACTGAAAAGTAACACTGAAGAACAAAATGCAAGTGCTGTTTTGTTCTTGTACTGCCTGATTTACAACTGAATAACAAGCAGCGCTAGCTGGGCACTGTTTTTAATACTAATAGGTATGCCACAATTCTGATATATAAGCAGTTTTGTCTTAATTTTTCAACCTTTTGCAAAAAGATTATCAGGTATTTTTTACCTGCCGGCGCAGACCTTTTCAGTTTTAATAACATAATAGTTCTCCCACAGTTTTTGTCAGTGAATTAACCTCAGCAGGAAACGCTTAGCCTGAATTTAGCAATTATACTGAACTGAGCTATATGTTAAAAGATCTGCAGTTTCTCCCACTTTACTATACTCTGATTGTCACACAGATATTCTTTATGATCAGTGGCTTGTGTGGTGGTGGTGGTTGTTGGTGATGAGAGTGACATTATGCCCTTGAGTAGAACTGGGAATAGTACTGAAAGATAGAAGGTTTCCCAGTCAGAATCTTGTTGTCCACGTTGTCAGAATTGGCTTCCCTGTACTTTCAGAAGCGATTTTTGGAAACACAACAAAGCACATAAAACCAAGTATGCAGTTACTATGTACGTGTTTATATGTCTGAAGCTCTCTCTGTTTAGATGAGAAAAATGACTGTGTGGTGTTTTGTGGGAAGAGCCATACG